TTAGGACTTCCAGGGCCTTTAGTTATACTTCAGAAAGGGAAATACACAAATCTATTTGCCTAATAATTAGGAGTTATTTATAAGACTAAAAGTTCATTTTAACTCCAGATTTTTTATGACATAATACAGAAGTCATCATATTAATTCAATCAGTTGCCATCTTTGGTAGGAGAAAAGTCCCTTGGGAGTTTGTATTGAACTAGACAGTGTGGATGGTCAAAAGAATGTCACAGGGGCTGCAACCACCAGAAATAATCTGGCAGTGTAAGGGTAAGCCTCAGAAAAAAAATGGGCACAAAAAATGAAAAAATAGGAAAAAAAGAAAACATAGGTATACATGGATATGTAACATCAGATCCCTGCATCAAGGCATTTGGTATTTTTCTTTCCAGTTCACTTACAATAGAATATAGTAACATGTATAACTACTAATGAAGAGATAAACATGCTCTCCTGCCTCTGTCTATACTTAGATATGTTCCTATGGTCCCAGAGAGGAGGAAAATCAAAACAGCAGTATGCCATGTTAGTCACAAGATTTTTACACCACCAAAACCTCATCTCAAGACATATTAGAGAACATTTTCAGAATCTTCTATGGATGAGTTAGAAACATGTCTTTATTACTGTCAGTAAGACTCATCTGCTGGGCTGAGAACTTACCCTCCTTTTTCTCTGAACTCAGAATTTATGAGCATACATTGTTCTTTATTTATGTTCTTTATTGTATACTATGTGTTTAATGTTAGACACTAATCCTTTCTAGGGCAGAACAAGAAACAGGAATAAGATGAGAACATAGGATTAGCCTTCAGAATTTATAGTTAAGAACAGGAGGAATTTTGTTTTCTTTTGGATCATTTTTAGACACACTTTGGAACTGTATTTGAAATTTGATGGGCTATAATTTAGCCATCTCATTTCACTAATAGTAAAATGTTCTCTTGCGTAAAGCAAGAAAGATCTGGGTTCTTCTTCCTTAGAAATCCCAGCAACTTCTTCAGCTCTTTTCTTTCCTGGTGTATATTTTGTTTACTCTCATAGAGTGACATGAGAGAAATGAGAACAGTAGGACCAAATTGCTAAGAATATGTCTGATCCTACCTCAACAGGAAAGGCACCTATATTCTGCCTTGGCTACCCCTGCCAAAAAAGAAATAGCTGCCGACTATATGGCTAATACTCAACAGAATAGTTGATAGGGTTGTTTAAAAGGTCTATCATATATATATATCTCTGCTCTTTTTTAACTTCTTTCCCCATAGAGGCCATTACAGAGTATTAAGTAGAGCCCCTCGACTATACAGTAGTTCCTTATTAGTTATCTATTTTATATGTGGTAGTGTGTATGTGTCAACCCCAATCTTCTAATTTATCCTCCCTTTTTACCCCCCAGTGATGATAAATTTATTTTCTACATCTGTAACTCTATTTCTGTTTTATAGATAAGTTCCTTTGTATATTCCACATATAAGCAATATATGACATTTGTCTTTGTGTCTAACTTACTTCACTCAATATGACAATCTCTACATCCATCCATGTTGCTGCAAATAGCATTATTTTTTTCTTTTTTCTGGCTGTGTAATATTCTGTTGTATATGGGTATCATACCTTCCTCTGTTGATGGTCATTTACTTTGTTATACACCTGAAATTAACACAACATTGTAAATAAACTATACCCCAATAAAAATTGAAAAAAATACAATCACATTATTAAACCTAACAATCAAAATATAAAAATAAAACTTTTTTTAAATTAAAAAAGTTTATCTTAACATAACAAATCTATTGTTATTATATAGATGAGCTTTGTTGATGCTTCCATGATACCTTAGTGCTGCTGCTGCTGCTAGGCACCACTAAAATAGAGAACCACATCCCCTACCCCAAAAGGCAGCAGAAGCAAATGGCCCATCTAGTTCCAGTTACAAGGTTACATTTATTCAGACATCTGCCCTCCTTTATTTTTGGCCAATAAATTGTTATTTTTATTTTTAGTTTATTAGTGACTGAATGATTTTATAATGACTACCACATCTGCCTTCCTAAAAATCTGCTTGCCAACTTTTAACTCAAAGTAAGAGGTGTTATTACTACCAAAGGAGTGCTTTCAGTACTCACTTTGAGATCTACTTTTCAAAAGGGTAGAGGGAAGGAAATAATACCAAATTTCTGAGAATTTCTGAGAATATTTATGAGAATGGGGATCATTGCTTTTGAAATCCACTGCTTTTGAGATAATCATATGTTCCTCCATAATGAAAGTGTTCTCTTACCCAATAATTATAAAGCAATTTCTACTCATGTAATAGTGGCTCAGAAGTGACATGCTTAACTAGCAGTCACGGACCCAGAGACCATCCATGTACCCCAAAGTAATGAATGTTGAGTTATTTCTGTGAATCTCTTGGAACTGAATGTTGGGTGTGGAATACCTTGGGTATAAGAATAGATTATGCTGTTTAGAAAATATATAATGTAGATTTTTATAGAACAAAATTCTGTAAAAGCAATATATGGGCCAAAATAGACAATAGATTAGATGAAATAATAGATTAGACTAATATACTCTTTTGGAGAAAGTTTCTCTATAAATTTAATAAATGAGCTGCTTAATAACAATATTATTACATTTACATTCAATGAAATTCAAAATTAAAGTCATGATAGAAATTCAGACTCTTACATAAATGGTGCTCTGTGACCTGGAAAACAAATTTATGGTTACCAAAGGAGAAAGGGGGTGGGGGAGGAATAAATAAGGAGTTTGAGATTAGCAGATACAAATTATTATATATAAAATCAATAAACAATGTCCTACTGTATAGAACAGGGAACTATATTCAATATCTTATTATATGCCACAATGGAAAAGAATATATATATATGCACATAACTGAATCACTTTGCTATACACCAAAAACTAACACAACATTGTAAATCAACTATACTTCGATTTAAAAAGAGTGGTGCTCTGTGACTGATCACCCAAGAAACATAGTTATGCTCTAGCTCACCTTTCTGGTTTGTGAGTGATGATACCTTTATATTTACCTTTCACTCTCTCTTCTTGCCAAAATGAAACTCACTATTTGGGAAACTACCATTTACAACCATTTAATTCTACTATCACAGAGAAGGAAATGGCATCCCACTCCAGTATTCTTGCCTAGAGAATCCTGTGGACAGAGGAGCCTGGTGGCCTGCTGTCCATAGGGTTGCACAGAGTCAGACAACCCACTCCAGTGTTCTTGCCTGGAGAATCCCAGGGACAGAGGAGCCTGGTGGGCTGCCATCTATGGGGTCGCACAGAGTCAGACACAACTGAAGTGACTTAGCAGCAGCAGCAGCAGCAATAATACTATCTGCAAGTTATAAACATGGAAGTCTAACCTATGTGCAATAAACTATCCCAGGAAGGCCTTGGTAAAACTTATTTGGCAATCTTTTGACAATACCAGGACTCTAGGTATTAACCATCTTAAGGCCATGCTGTGTAGTACCTTGTCTTCTTTCTGAGTCCAGTGAGGGCTTTGGTGAACTAAGGCAAAGCTAGAGTTATGATCTAACTCCATGTAAATGACAGAACTTTTGACTTTGTCTCAAATGACAAGCAAACAAAAACCATTTCTGAACTACTTATTTGATGCTAAGAACTTCAGAATTCTCAGTAGTCAATATGGAAAAATGTAGAAATGGTATGCCATCTGGATTCTGTTTTCTTACTACCTTAATTAATAGACAGATGTTTTCCAATATTAACAAATCCAGTGTACTCTAAATCATTGGTAGCAGCATTTCAAAAATCTCAAAAAAAAATGAATTTTAGTGTAAAATTATATTTTAAGGAGGAATAGTCAGGGAAGAGTTGTGCAAAATCCCATGAGCAGTGGGATACCAGGAATTCTAAACAGTTAGTTGTAAATCACTGTTTTAGATGTCAGACAGGGAATGCATGCTTTGAAAGTACAGTGCTTTTATGCACAGTTTCCAAATAACAATTTAAGACGTAGATATAACCATCCACTTCAGAAAAAAGATAGTGACTTGAAATTAACATTCCCTAAAACAGAAAATCAACAGAATGTTGTTAAATAAAAGGTAATGTTAATATTCTTCAGAAAGAAAAATAAACATCACAAGTGGCAACTCAACCCACTCTCTCATCATTCATATCTGAGTTCATATAGACATGTTGGCTTACACGTCTTAACTACTAAACTAACACCACATACTTGAATGTGAATATCCACATTTTTTATTTTCTTTAAGGTTGTCTTCCTTCTCTATAAATTTGTTTCATACAAAGCAAGGCTTATAACTTTGTTTTAAAATCTTCTTGCAAGTCATATTTTCCATTATCTATGATGGTTTGGTAAATGTTACTGATGGACTGAAAATAAAGAATGGCTAGTTTCAAGAGAAAAACAACATCTAGAAGTAGAGCTTAGAAAGTTAATCGAGAGTATAAAATGTAAAACTGAGATTTAAGCATAGTTGTAATAGTTGATTATGTAAGAAACATGAAGAATATAGATGTTTCTACTACTTCCTCTGTGCATAGATCATACACTTAATCATGTTTGTTTGAAATTCAACTGAAATTAGATATGAATACCTTGGAGATAAAAAATTATCAAACCCCTCCCAGTAAAATTTAAAATTAAAGACATGGAAGCAACCTAAATGTCCAATAATGGATGAATGGATAAAGAAGATGTGGTACATATATACAATGTAATATTACTCAGCCATAAAAAAGAATGAAATAATGCCACTTGCAGCAACATAGATGGACCTAGAGACTGTCATACTAAGTAGAGAAAGTTACACAGAGAAAGACATACATCATATGACATCGCTTATATGTGAAATTAAAAAAAAATGGTACAAACAAACTTATTTACAAAAGAGAAGCAGAGTCACAGATGTAGAAAACAAACGTATGGTTATCAATGGGAGATAAGTGGAGGGATAAACTGGGAGATTGGGATTGACATGTATACACTGTATGTACACTCAGTCATGTCTGACTCTTTGCAACCCCATGGACTGCAGCCCACCTGGCTCCTCTGTTCATGGAATTTTCCAGGCAAGAATGTTGGAGTGGGTTGCCATTTTCTACTCCAGACATATACACACTACTATATATAAAATAGATAACTGAAAAGGACCTACAGTATAGCACACGGAAACTCTACTCATTATTCTATAATGACCTACATGGGGAAAGAATCTAATAAAGGGTGGATATTTGTATAACAGATTCACTTTGCTGTATACCTGAAACTAACACAACACTGTAAACCAGCTATACTAAAATAAAATTAATTTCAAAAAAAATATTTAAGGGGGGTCAAAACATTGAGATTGTTTCATCTTTTAAAAAAAAAAAAGAAGGTTGAGATAGTGAGCTAAGACTAGTTTTTTTTTAAGCAAGTTATGGGAAGTAAGAAATGAGACTTTCTTTTCTTCACCAAGGCCACATAGTGATGAAATAGGCTTACACTGCAACGGAACATGTTTAGGTTTGAAAATGAGGTAGACTCTTAATAGTGAGGCTTCTAAACACTGAAAGAGAAGTTCTGGGTTTGTCTTCTCTAAAGTTCTTAAACCTAAACAGGATAAACTCACATCTTTATGGAATATTCTAAATGTGTCAAGAAGGGAAGGAGCGCCTTTTCTAGGTGATTCTCATGATTCAGGATTTTCTTTTTCTCTCTCTTTTTAAAATCACTATTACTCAGAAACAAACACTTCTAAAAAGCCACCAGGACTACTAAGTGTCCTTGGCCAAGGTGAAAGCAACAGAAGTGCCACCAATGTTTTAGTGGAGAATTCTCAGGAATCTCCCTATGCTACCCTTTGTTCCATATTATCACATATATAACTGTCACATTATGTTACCATTATTGCCTATAATAATTGATTTACTATAAACTTGGAATTGTGAGTACAGCTGCTGAAAAAACTACTTGTGAACAAAGAGATTAGAACTTATTGTTCATTGTTCTGTAAAGAGGTACAGTAGACTTTTAGTGGAAAAGTTAGCACGTTTCACTCTCTGCTTTTTGCTCTCAGTATTCAAAGTCAGACTCATTTCTGTTAAATCATTCCCTTCCTGTGACACTAAGTATTTCTGATTCATCTCCAGAAATATGAAACCAATATGTGTTGGTGGTATTTGCTTAAGAAATAAGGGGAGACATCCACAGTATACAAGGAGGAAAAAAAATATATCCCCAATTCAAAAGAAGAAAAAACATATAGCCTACCTCTTCCTACCTGCCAGGTTCTCTTCTAGGAACTAGAGATGCATGGATAAATGTGCCCATTGCTAAAGAGTGATCACAGACAGGAATGAGAAGCAGACATAGAAATAGAGACCTAGGATGTGAAGAGATGGGAGTTGGAGTAAAGGAAAGTGAAATGTACTGTATAGATATGCCCGGGACATTTCTGTTCTATGCCTATGATCTTGGTGTAATTATTGATAGAGTCCTTTTACCCTCAAAAAATGGCCTTGTTGGGACAGTAAACTCCATGGTCACCCTATGAATAGCTGTAGCTTTCAAGTCTGCCTGAGGTGGTCTAGAAAGATCTTCCTCAGGATAGGACAGAAAATCAAATAGATTAAGAATGCTTTGCCATTTGTGTTGTCTCCATCCAAAAGGAAATGATAAAACTGGGCAGACTGACTGCCTTTCAATTCTCCCAGGGTTGACAGAGGGGTAGAAAAGGTATATAAGTTCTGTGTGGTGAGGGAAGAGGGACAAGGCAAAAAGACAATCTAAACCCCTTATTTGTATATGAAATGCACAAGAGTTGTCATTAAATGAACCATTAAATTACAAATTCCCAGAAGTTCTCAGGATTGGAGGACATAGTAAAAAAAAAAAAAAAAAAAGAACTAGAAGCCATGATGGGGAATTTCAGAAAGACATGTTAAGATTTAATAAAAGGAAGAACATTTTGTACAAACAGAAGTCCTAGAGCAGGATTGGGTTGCCTGTGAGGTTAAGCGCACCATGTCCCTGGTGGTGTGCAACAGAGACGGAATGGCCCCAGCAAGCAAACTCAGGCACCAGGTCAAGACTCAGACCATAGGACTTTAGGATCCTTTACACATTGCCCTGAGATTTTATGATTCTGTATGATGCATGGTGTCTTTTTGAGTAGATTTTAAGTAAGAATCTTGTGTTTGGGGAAGTATAAATACCAGGAAACTAAAAGTTTGTGTAAGCCAAATCTTCTCATGATCCAGTCTGAACACACTAAAAACGGACCAAGGAAAGCCACTGCAGATCTCACTGAGCTCGTTCTTTGCCACTAGTGCAAGGTAAGCAGCCATTAGGTGTGTAATACTCAGAAGACGTGCCTCACTCAGGCCTCCATCTCTCGGACTCATTTTGAGATAGAACAGCTGCAGTCTTGCTAACCCGTTTGATTTGCATAGCTCTGAGTTACATAGGGAAAACCTGTGGCAAAGCTATCATTAAAGAGAAACAAAGCAGAAGACTGAACAAAGGCTACATTCTGTGCAAAGTTGGAAGTTTAGACTGTTTCAGTAATCCTTGTCATGGTAAGATGTCCGCCTCTCCCCCACACCTAAAAACAATAGCAGATAAGTGACAAAAGAAGTCTCCCTGGAAGTAACTTAGGAGCAAAGAGTAGGGTGAACTAGAGACTGTGCATATGAAGAGAGAGAAAGAAGTTGGCATGGACACAGGGAGATGCAGCAAAACACCACCGCACTCATGGCACAAAGATATGTGATTAGGTTAGAATCCCTTCCACATCTTCCCCAGTGCATTTCAGTCGGACTATGCAGGTAGAGGCAAAAGGAACGACATCCTGATAAAGCTCAGCTTTCCGGAGGCTTAACAAAGATTGCAACACAGTTAAAGTCAGAATAATCTCACTGGGCCTTTTATATCAAATTCTTGAATATCTAATTTAAGATGAAAACCTTTTCCAGTAAACTAGAGAGAAATGCCTTCTGCAGGCAGTGGAAGTGACCTTAGTTCTTTAGTGGTTAAGAGTATCAGGGCTTTGGATAAAGGGAAAATAGCTTCACACCTTTGCTACTTAAAGATTTATGGTGAAGTATTTGAATTTCTCTAAAGTTTTGGTTTCCACAAGTGAAAAGAAATTGATAATACACACACCACAGAGCCATTGTAAAGATGATATTAGACATGTAAATTGTGTAATGCTTGTAGTGTCTGGGAAGTGATTATTAACAATAAAATTTTTATTTAGCAAGGACTATTATCCATTTCTGTAACATTCTTTAGTCATCCATACCAAGCTCTGCCTCATGTTTCATCATCACTTTCTGACTGGTTCTTAACACTCTAACTCTGTTCCCCCTTTGACTTGCTTCACTAGATACTCTAAGTGTCTGCCTTCTCGCTTCAGAACTTCATGCTTCCACGTTCCTCAAGAGGTATACCTAGAATCATTTAGAAATTCAGTGCCAATAATGGACGAAATTTGAATTCATAAGGAGAATACATGGCTTTTAGGAAATACTGTTCTTGAGTTCTGAGGGCATTCTTCATGTTTTATGACATTGACTATGAGACCATTCATGGCAGGTAAACAAGGAACAGGTATTATTATTTTGTACCCTCCTCCTAGGAGGTTAAAATGACTCACTAAAAGTCACTCAGCAATCTCAGATGAAGAATCTGAGGAGAAGTCTTGAATTCTTAACCCAAAATCTGCCCTTTGCTATACAAAAGTCATCCTTAGTAGGATGATCCCAAGTATTAATTTTAGATTATGATATTGCTTTTTGCCAAACACTTAAAACGTTTTCTGGATTTGGATTGGGCCTCTGGTTACCCTCAGAACTTGGGGAGAAGGCCATGTAAGTTCTCTTCTCAACAGTTAAAGCAGTCCTTGTCACCAAGATTATCATATGTTAGATCACATGTCAGTGTCTGTGACAGTCAGGCCTTGGCTTCTCAGGATCTACTCATTACAAGTGAGTTTATGGGCCTTGAAACATATGGCCTTGATATATGATCCTAGAGCAAAAGAGCAAGGTATTTCAAGCTGGCCACAATTTTATTGACTCTAACAGGCTTGCTTTGTAGTCATTCCAATAAACTAGATGAGAAATTTCTGATGCTCCAAGCTATCCAGTCCCCAGGACTCCATTTCATGATTCAGAGTCCAACTAAACAACTCAAGAGTGCTTTTGTGTGACACTGTGACCACAGGGATAAATAATTGCTTAGTAATTCTCTTTGAGGCAGAAAATTCTAAACATGGAGAAACCATTTCCCTTTAATGGGAGCCAGAAATCCTGTAAGTGCTTGAAATGGCATTCACAAGTCTGAATGGTAAACAGATAAAAACAGGAGCGCACCAGTTGCACAAATGACTTGCTTGTCACAAACTTGTCATTGCAGTAATCTAACATTTCTTTCACAGAGCCCGATGGAAAGTATGGAACAAACAGGCCCTGCTGACGTTTTGGCTCTGCTAAGCCTTCCTCCAAGCTAAAGCATCTGCAGCATCTTCCTGTTCTAGACCCTTTATCTGCTGAAGTTAGCTGATACTGTACATGTCAAAGAAATGTTTGACTATGCATTAACAAGTTGATGACAAGCAAGTTATTCCTGCAACTGAAATGCTTCTGCTTTTAGCAGGCTGCCATTTTGACCTTCATCTTATTATACAGAAGAACCAGAACAGAGCAGAGCCCTGGGAACATTCATTATCACAGTATCATTGCCCTAGACTTGAGATCACTGTCTAGGGCTTAGGTGTAGTAGTATAGTGAACATATCAGGCAGTTCCATCAAGTTTATATATGGGATTTTCTGGTAAAACATAAATGGTATAAACACATTAAACTGTCCCAAGATTTCCTATTACTGAAATAAAGTGAGCCACGCAGAAATTCATTTCCTCCTGCACCCCCGCCATCCCAAACACACACATGCTCATACACGGGTCTGTATATAAAATGTTAATACAAAAGTCCCTTCTCATCCTCAGTTCCACCTTCCCCAGTTTCGGTTTCACTTAGCCACAGCCATCTGCAGTCTGAAAGCATTAAATGGAAAATTTCAGAAATAAACAGTTCATTGGTTTCAAATTGTGCACTGTTCCGAGTAGCATGATGAAATCTCATGCCGTTCCACCTGGGATGTGAATCATCCCTTTGTCCAGAGCACCCCACCAGTTACTCACTTAGTAGGCAGCTCGGTTCTGACATCGACCGAGATAGTACTGCAGTTCTTGTGTTGAAGTCACCCTATTTTACTTAATAGTGGCCCCAGTGCATAAGAGTGGTAAAGCTGGCAAATCAATTATGCCAAAGAAAAGCTGTAAAGTGTTTCTTTTTGTTGAAAAGGTGAAAGTTTGCAACTAAGGAAGAAAAGTTGTATGCTGAGGCTGCTAAGATCTATGGTAGGAATGAATCTTCTCTCAGTGAAATTGTGAAGAAGGAAAAAGAAACCCATGCTAGTTTTGCTGTTGCACCTCAGACTGTAACTGCTATGGCCACAGTGCATGATGATGCTTAGTGAAGATGGAAAAGTCATTTGATTTGTACAGAAAGATATTTTGAGACAGAGAGATCAAATTCATGTAACTTTTATTGCAGTATATTGTTATATTCTTTCTATTTTATTATTAGGTGTGATGTTAATCTCTTACTGTGCCTGATTTATAAATTAAACTTTATCATAGGTATGTATGTACAACAAAAAATATAGTGGACATGAAGCTTGGCACAATCCGTGGTTTTACGCATCCACTGGGGTTCTTGGAACCTAGCCCCCTTGGATAAGAAGAGGGTACTGTAGCTGAAATCAGAGTTAATGAAAATTACAACCAGTTTTACAGTTTTTGCCAGTCCTTGGATTTCCTATCAGTAAGCTCTCCTCACCTGCTTCTCAAGTAGCATAACATCTGAACCAGTCTAAGGCTAATCAGAGCCACACCCTTATCCCCTAGAAAAAGAGCTGTGTGTGTCTTTCAGCCTCCTCACAGAAACCTGGGGCAGCCCTTTATAAAACACCACCAGTTTATCTCCAACTTCAGCAGCCAGTAGGGAGTGCTCACACACTATGCAACTTCAGACTCTTGCCTTTCTGCTTGAGAGGCCCTCCCTGTCAGGGGGACCCACCCTTGGTGTTCCTTGAGAGTGTGTCTGGTGGGGTCCCAGGCTTATCAGCGTACAGCCAGAGCTGGAGCCTGAAACAGGAGCCTTGCCCGTTACCCCCAAAAATTCTGCCTCTGCTGGGACCTTAGGTGGATCAGCACTTGGAGCAATGGAGCTTTCGCCCCAAAGACTGGCCTTTTCATAAAGCGGAGCTTCTACTGTTCATTGAGGTGTCGGTCGCCCTGCATTCTTTTCATACCTCTCTGTAAGGGTTAAGGGCAGTTGCTTGTGTCTTATGTGGTTTAAATGTGGACAGAAAATGCTGCATTCTCAGATTTTTTTCTGGTTGATGCCCCAGGTGCTTTCATTTTTAAAAGTCTTGTGTAAAACTGATGATCATTGTTCAGCCACGAGAACTCAAATTGCTTGCCAAAGTAGTGATGGGGCTTAATTTCTTTTAGATTTGATAAACTGATCACAATCCTGTCTCCCAGATGAAATGTTTAATTCCCATCCTAGGTATCTCAGACTGTAATCTATACCTCAGCCTTGTTACCTCAGAAGACAGGTGGGAAAGGTGTGTAGAGAGGGTCCTGTGTTTTACACAGATAAGAATATTGCCCCAGGAAAAGGAAGTGAAGGTAGTTTGAAGTGGCAATTATATCTTCAGTCACAGAAAACATATAAACAAACCATTGAATTTTAAAAGAAATTTTAGTGACTTTTTTTTTCCTTCTTAAAGTTCCTAATATGATTTCTGTAATGATTTTCTGTTTTCTTTCTTCACAGAACTTAAATGGCAAAGAAATGATATGCTATTTTTGATTCAGGAAAAAATAAAAATCTTTTTATATGGGAACTCTCTTTTTAAATATACGTTAGGGAATAGATAATGATAACAAAAAAAAAATGTTCTCTCTTCCTGTTTAGAGAGATAGATGATTAGTGTATGTGCTTTTAATATATACTTACTTACTTACTTGGTTGTTTGTTTATTTTAAGAAAGCAAGAAAGGAAGGAAGAAAACAAAAACTCTTGTGCTGGAGTGATTTCCTTAGATTCATAGAATGGTGGGGCTGGAAACGAGCTTGGCGATAGGGCTACGCCTTTGTGGCACATGTCCACTTCACAGGTATGGACACTGAGACCAAACCTGTTTTATAACAGGAACAAAGGTAAACACAACAGGACTGTGGCAGAGCTAGACCTAAATCATGGTCTAACTTTCAATCCAGCAAATATTCTCTCAGAAATTACATAATTTTTAAAAAACTTTTTCTTTTAAACAAAGAATAATTTACATTGGTGTGCTTAAATCTAACAGGATGTTTGATTTTGGAAAAACTGTCTGTAAACTAGCTAAGCTAATTCAGGAATGTACAGTTGAACAGTTTTGAGACATTTTTTACCAAGCTATATTTTATCTGAGTTGTATAAGGAACCATCATAATTTCAATTATTTCTTTTCTCTTATAAGATTTCATAGACACACTTTTCCTTTCCCATTTTGGCACCTGAAAACATGAATTTTTAAATGAATCTGTTTCTTTTATAAGTATTCATTTAAGTAGGTCATATTCTAGAATTCTCTGAGGTAAAAAAAAATCTTATCAGATTAAAAGAAATCTGTTTTTTATTCCCATTTTTAGCCACATACGAGTTGGTCCTTGTAATCTACGGTTTCAACAAAACATTAAGTTAAAACATCAATGTTTTTGTTTTGGGTTCTTTCCATTTAGCACAATGGGAAAAAATAAATGCATTTACCTTTTTGCAGCTATAATAATTATATACTCCATTTTTCATTTATGCAAAACTTATTTTTGAGGGTTTCCTTTTTGTTTCATTTCTCTGTTTTTGCATTTTCCAAACATCTGTACCGTGGCTGGTGGCGAGAGTAGCAGTGGCTGGCCCTTTTCCTCCGCGCTTTAAGAGAAAGAGAATTGGCTGGAATAAAACCTTGCTTTCCATATGGTTACCTTGAAATACAGCATTGAAAAGGTATTGTCTCTTTTTCTTTTCTGAAACCAGAGGTGCAGCCCAGAAACAAATAGCAATATTAATGCCAAACCACCTGTTGATTCACATCAAAAAAATCCTTGGCAATCCCCCACTTCATGTTTGAAACACCTAAATGGATAACTGATCTTTATGCATTGGTAGCATTGTATTAATATATGATGCTGGTCATTCACTTAAGCCTAGATTTTACACATAGTCAAAAAGTGAATTGAAAGTTTTTCTTTGATTCAACTAAATGATCACTTTGTAAGTACACTTGGCTGTGAAGTGTTTCTTGATTCCTGGAACAGTTGGACCTAGAGTCAGGGACAGTGAAGAGGAAAAGATGACACTAGTGTTTTCTTTTACCTTGATCAATTTTAGTTAGGAAAAGCAGTAGTCTGTCCTGTCATTTTTTAATGTAACATGTTTCAAACATATAAAAGTATGAATTATAATTTGAACATACAAGAATCCAGCACCCAAGTTAAACAAACCTCAATGTGGAAAATTTATTTCCAAACCTGTTTTTATCGTGTATTATTCTAAGTAACGATAGTGAAGTACACAAATTAATTGTATAGCTTGATGAGATTTTATGTGAATATACATCCACGCAACAATATTCAATCCAACATACAAAACATTCACAATACCTAGGAGAATCCTTCATGCCCCCTTACAGGCTACATCCTCCGAAACTTTAACAAAAGATTAAAAACAGCATAACTCTTCTGATTTCTATCACCATGAATTAGTTTTACATAAGCCATATATTATGAGTTATATAAAATGAACTTTACTGTATGTGTCACTAAAATCTGAGTCTCTAATTGTTAGACATTATTTCTGGTATTTCCCAATTGCCACCAAAATTGTAGTTAACATTTTTGTACCTGTTTGGAAGCAAAGGAGGAAATGCTAAACTGTAAGAAAAAAATGCATGTTTAAATTTTATTAAATGATTTCTTATTTTTTAAAGTTTAATAACTTTACAAAGAATTATGCAATTTTTCTTATTAAAGTGGTAGTATCGATTTATATTCTCATTAGCAGTCTATGAGACCTTCTCCATATGCTTCACAACATTTGGAATGACCAAGGTTCTTACATTTTTGTCAGACTAAGGGGATTGAATAATATATAATTAAAAAAATTTTTCACTTATAAACCACTGGGATTTCCTCATGTGTATTCATGTGTGTTACCTGTTTGTATCTTCACCTTTATTTTGATTGAGTTATTTGTTTAGCCACTGTTGTTTTGGACAGCTTTTGGTTTTGGTTTTGTAGTTGTAATATTCTGGATTCTCATCTTTTGGGCAATATAGATTGCAAATATCCTTTCCCAATTTTTAGCTTTCTCTTTTAACTGTATATAGTAGCATTTATTTTTAAACCTTCTGATTTTAATGCAGTTAAGTTTATTGATGTTTTCCTTTATGGTTTGTCCTCTTATGTCATTTTAAAAAACCCTTCAATATGATAAGATCCTTAAGACACCTTCCTATATTTTCTTCTAACAGTTTTAAAGTTTTTTCTTTTACATTTAGATTTCTAATCTTCTTGACATTTGTTTTTGTGTATGGTATCTTACATGCATCCTGTTTTATTTTTTTTCCATGTGGGTAACCCAGTTATCCCAGCACCACTTAACAAATTAGTCATCCTTACCCATTAATTTGTAATGCCTCTTTCACCTACATCAAATCTGTTTTTAGTATCTTTATTTCATCTAGTGGACTGTTTCTCTATTCTTGTGCTAACACCAAAGTGCCTTAATTACCATTGATTTATAATATTCTTATTATTTGGTAAGGTAAATCTCTCTACATTGTCCTTCTTTAAAATTCTTTTTGCTCTTCTTGGCCTTCTACAATTCAATGTAAATTTTAGGGTTGTTTAGTCAAGTTTAGCAAAAGCCCTGTTGAATTTTATTTGTATTTACATTAACTTTAGATAGTAATCTGGAGGAGAATGGATATTCTTATGATATTGTGTCTTTTTAGCATTGAGAGCTGTACTTGATGAGCTCTTCCTAACAGTTCTTTAACAATGTTTTATAATTTTCACCATAAAGGTCTTGCTTGATCTAATTTGTTAGAATTCCTCTCCTATAACTTAATTGTCATGATATTATGTATAAAATCTGTTTTGCAGTTTATTGCTTATTTGTTATTATTGGTGTATACTCAACAGCTTTGCTGAACTCTCTTACTAGTTCCACTGGCTAAACTGAAATTCTCTTAGGTTTTCTACATGGACATGTGTATCATTAGCAAATAATGATACAAATTCCAATTTATCTCTTACTTTTCAATTCCAATTTATCAATAGTTTTCAATTCAATTTATTTTTCCTGTCATATTGCATTGCTGAGACCTCTATGTAGTGTGGAGTAAAAGCAATAACATTAGGAATGCTCTGTTTCATTCTTTAATGGAAATGTTCTGGAAATGTGATATTTACTTGGGATTTCGAGAAATCAAAATTATTATTGGAAAGTTCCCATCAGCTATTTAAAGTTTGCTAAGTATTTTTAATCAAGAATATTTGGGACTTCCTTGGTGGTCCAGTGGCTAAGACTCCGTGCTCCCAGTGCAGGGAGCCTGGGTTTGATCCCTGGTCAGGGAACAAGATCCCACATGCCACAACTAAAGTGTTTGCTTGCCACAACTAAAGAGCCAGTGCAGCCAAATAAATAAATAAGTAAATAAATAAATTTTTTTTTAAAAAAAGAATACTTATTGAATTTTATCTAATGCATTTTCTGCATCAATAATATGATAAAATTTCCCACTAATATGTTAGTATTTTATATAATATTAAAACATTTCTTGATAGTCAACATTTCTTACATTCCTACAAAAAAATTTTTTTTACTTGGTCCTGGTGTGTTTTTTTAAATCCAGTCTTGAGTTTAATTTGCTGATACTTTATATACATGTTTGCATGGGGAGATTAGTCTTTACTTTTCTTTTCTTAAAATTTTTATTATAGAGATTTGGTGTTATGGTGATACTAGCCTTGCAAAGTAAGTTGAGCAACATTTCTCTCTTATTTTTTTCTATTTCTATAACTGTTTTTATATTATACAGATTACCTATTCTGAAGATTTGGTTAAATTTACCTCTAAAATCATCTGGACCTAATATTTTGTATTAGTAGGTGATAGGTAGTGTAAGGTAGATATTTTATTATCATCAGTTCCTTTACTTCCATAGCTATTGGTTTATTCAAGTGTTATAGTTCTTAAATCAATTTTAAGGAGGTGTTTTTGGAAAATATACAGTTAACAGTTAACCTACACTTCAAATTTATTTGCACAAAGATTTCATAAATTCTTATGATATTTAAATTTATCTTTAGATGTGTTCCCTTCTTATTCCTAATATTATTTATATTAACCTCTTCTCTTCTTTTACTGGCTGTTAGACATTTTTGTGTTTTATTTACTTTTTTCAAAAATTAGCTTTTGGGTTTACTTATTGACTTGATTGTGTCTTTGCATTCTATATCATTACTTTATGTTTTTGTCAACATCACTTTTTCTTTCTATTTATTATTTAGATCATTTTTTCTAGATTCCTGAGTTGATTTTTTCTCATTCAATTTTAATACTTTTTATTGTTTTTCAAATGAATCTGTCTTGAAATTCTCATTCAGGTGTCTCATTAGCTGCATAACATGTCTTGATATATAGTTTTGTTTAATTTTAAGTATTTTGTAATATCTCTTTTGATTTATTTTTAACCCTTAATTAGAACTGTATGTTTCTAGGAACTTCCCTGGTGGTCCAATGTTTAAGATTCCGTGCTTCCAGTGCAGGGGCACAGGTTTAATCCCCAGTCAGGGAACTAAGATCCCACATACCATGCAATACAGCCAGAAAAAAACCAGTGTATGTTTCTACATGGCAAAAATGTATTTGCTCTATTTTTATTACTGATTCTGAATTCAATTGCAGTATAATGAGATGTGTTTTATATAGTTTTGATTGAAAAAAAAGTTTAAAAAATTCTTTTCTGAGCTAGTACATGGATTTTATTGCTGGGCTTAAAGTTCATAGGGGCTTATCTTTATCTTCAGTGCTCATACTAAAAATTTTTTATGCGTACTTACCTACATATTTTTCTAGTAAAAAATAAAATCCACTTTTTAGTATTTGTGACTTACTCCTTCATACAGAAATAAAAGTGTCTAGCATGTTTTATCCACTTCTTAAGTATCAATCTCATTATTATAATTTTTGAATGGAGTTTTAGTTTACTTACTTGTTTTTAATCATATCAATAGATAATTATCATTTATTTTTATAATCAATACTTAATTGTATTTACTCATATGTTTTAGTTATTACTATGCCCACTATTATTTGTAGATCCTATAGCTTCCTTTCTGGATTTACTCTCCTTCTTGTTGAATTACTTCTTTTCATAATCCTCCAGGGAGGGCCCTGGGTAGCACACTGCTGCTGCTGCTGCTAAGTCTCTTCAGTCGTGTCTGACTCTGTGCGACCCCATAGACGGCAGCCCACCAGGCTCCCCCGTCCCTGGGATTCTCCAGGCGAGAACAGTGGAGTGGGTTGCCATTGCCTTCTCTACTATGTATGTCTAAAAATGTCTTTATCTTTTAAATAACAATTATCTGGGTATTTTGTGTAGCATTTGAAGATATTTCTCAACTACATCTTAGACGGTTGTTCTGTTAACTATCATTACATAAGACAAGTCTACTATCTATCTATTTTTCAATTATTTTTAAGTACTTGGCCTTTTCCCTCTGGTAACTTCTTAGAGTTTTTATATATCCTTACTATCTGTTGTTTCTCTGAAATGTGTCTCAATGTGGATTTATTTTAAATTATCAGTCATGAACTAGGGATATAGTTTCTAATTTCAAGACTCTAATTCTGGAAAATTCTCGGTATTTTTTTTTTCTTCTGTTGTTTCCTTTTCACTACCTTCATTTTATTTTTCTGGGATTCTTATAATATTAATA